ATACCAACGTTGCTATGAGTCGATACAAAATTGTTCCACCAGCGACTTGAGCACAAAGCAAGAGCAACGGGAGTAATCCACATCAACGTTTTATCGACGTCGTGCTCGATAGTAAGAATCAAAGGCCACAACATCCCGCTGACTTGGGCGATCAATGCCAGAGCATCAAAAATTTTTAGTAATCTTAATTTAATTGCTGATATATTACGGCTCTCTTCATTTCGCGAAAGTAGATCTATTAAATATTAACAATTTAAGTTGTATTTAAATGTATTATGACAAGTAATTTCGGAATCGTATGATATGTAGCAGAAACAAAAGTTTTTACCGTTGTAATTTTTAATAGAGTGTTGATAACTAGCATAGTAACGGTAAGTTAAAGCAAAATTGAAAAGAGTCAAGAAGACGATTGCTATTGAAACCTTCTAATTTTTAGGACCTGTATTCACAGTCAGATCTTATATTTAAGACGGTCTTAATACAGTCTTAAGACGTCATGAACCAATCAGAAAGCCGTATTATTATCTTAAGATACATTATTTAAGATAATCTTAAAATAAGAACCCCGACTATGAATACTAGCCCAGGACTTCGTAAATTAATTATGCGCACTTACTCAGCAATCCTGGTACGAAACATAGGCAACAGAAGATCGCGGCACCTTGCACTGCACCGATTTCTGGTAGAATGATAAAAGTTAACAATACTAAACCGAGCGTGTGAAGAGTATCTATCAAGATCATAAGTAAAATATTCCGTTTCTTTGGCATCCTTGGTTTTCTTTTGAATAGATAATGCCATAAGGTGTTTAATATCCCGATGCATTCTGGTATGAGATATATGAAAATCAAACACCACGTCCATTTTATACGGCCATCTTGCGTATATTCGGTAAAAAGCTCTTCTAATTCTAAGGAATATTCAAGAATTTTAGAGTATGAAAGAATATATTCGATAAAAAAAAATTACTTTCTTCTCTCTCCTCATGAAATAATTAACGTAACATAATTAATAACAAAATGTGATTTTTTTTATATATTAACGTGATTACTAATATAATATAATAACGTAATAAATAATCTTCAAAATATTATAGTATGTCCTCGATATTATATTATTGTATAAATTTTTGTAAACTATCTTTTCAACTTGATTCAACAGGATTCTTTTAACTATTATTTGTTACTATTCAATCCTTTCAATTACAAATATCAATTCCTATACCTCTCTTTAGGATTAATTATTTTAACTTATTTAATTTAATTTGTTAATTTTATTCGATTTAATATTTTAGTAAAACTTTGACAATTGTTTGAAATCCTATATTTTAACATTTCGTATGTGCGCAATCTGCACCTCTGCAAATGTTTACAATTTTAAAACTTTTACAAGACTAAATTTAAAAAATTCTACACTTTTCTTTGGATAAAAGAAATGCAAATATTTGTACTTTTCAATTTGTTTTGTTACGTAAATTTTCAATTTAAACGCTCTTTAAATTAAAATTTTACCTTCATTATGATTACAAAAGGGCAAGGATTGATTTTTCCGTAGTTGCGCGGTGGCCAATAGAACAAATAATTTAGATACGATACCGCTACAAAAAACGATAATAAATAACAATCCATAAATGAATATCTTTAAGATCCAAATGACGATCTCGAAAAATCTGTTATTTTGCATAGATCCACTTTCTGATGAAGGAGGATAACATTCGAATACGTCCCATGGTGGAACGTCCTGCAAACTGAAAAGCACGAGATCTGAGCTCAGTATTTTCAGCATTTTATTTACTATTTATTTATTATTATCTCATCTTTCATATTTGTTTCCTTATTCTGTTTTAGACCTTTCTACATTTTTTACATTTTTATCATTTTGCAGTTATCATTTTATTCCTTCTCTTTTTTCATGACATACATTTGTTTATTTTGCAAAAAAAGTCACTCACTTTCACAAAAATAAAACAACATTTCATTGTCACTTTAAATCTTCAATCTGCTCTTTTATAAAGTATAAAGTAAAATTACACCTAATCTATAATAATAAATAATTTCAAGAAAAAAATGCTATATGTATATATATATAT